CACCTAACGGAGGAACATTAGTAACCGTTGATACCAACTTGGCAGTTCAAAATGCTTATTTAGCAACTAATACCATTCAATCATTTGATTTAACAACGGTTTCATTTTTAGATAATATTTCAATGACTACTGGAACAGATATATTAATGGGAACAAGTGAAATATCAACTTATTATGATGGAACTAATTTATCTACAATTGATGTAATATTCAGAACGTCAAATACAGCTTTTAGAGTGGCGGACAGTTCAACTACACCTTCTGTTTTATTATCTATTGATAAGACATTTGGGACAGCAATAAATACTGAAAGTTTTACAAATAATGCCTCATCAACATTCAATGAAAATGTAACAATTGCGGGAACGAAAAAATTGTTATGTAATTTAATTGAACCATCAACAGGAACTAATATAGATTTAACAGCAACAACAGTAACCATCAACGGAACGTTTGTTGATTCATCTGATTCAAGATTAAAATATGATATAGATAATATTAAATCTAATTGTATGAATATTATTAAGAAATTTAAACCGAAGAAATTTAAGAGACACGATAGAAATGATGACGGTAAAACTCATATAGGATATATAGCAGATGAAGTCTTAAAAGTAATTCCTAAAGAATTTGAAAATGTTGTTAGTAAAGACAGAGAGTATTTAGGATTGAATTATTTAGTTTTACCCGTGCTAGTTCATAAAGCAGTATTAGAATTAAATGATAAAGTAGATAAACTTGAAAAAGAAATTAAGGAATTGAAAAAAGAAAAATCTAAATAATAATATATAATGGGTATTGGTCAAAGTAAAGACGATGAAAATAACAGTATGGAAGACATTAAGAATTTAAGAGTAGATGAAAAAACGAGAGCGGATACTTTAATAATTAAATCTATTCAAGAATGTGTATCAAGAATAGAAAAATTAGAAAAAGAAAAATCAGACAAACTAATATATAAATTACCAAATTTACAGTTTTGCAACGCTTCATTAATTTAAATCAAAAACATTAAACAATAAATTTAATGTTATTGATTAGTTATTTTCAAATAATGTGAAAACTTCTTCATAAACATTTTATCGGGGTTCTTTTCTAAAAGGTTAATATATAAAAAACTATGTGGTTCATCAGTGGCGGTCTCATAGATTTTATAAATTAGTTTCTTGCTTTCGTGTAAATTATCGCTCCTAACAATAGCAGACATCTCATCTTGTAAAATTTCAATCTCTTTGAAGTTTCTAACTTTATAATAGAATAAATGACTTATATTTACTCTAATAATAGGTGGAACAGTTGTTGATTTTTGAAGACTGACAAGCGTTGATATTCCACTGTGGCGACCTCTACAAAATAAAGAATTTAACAATTTGTTATTTCTTGTTATTGCTGGATTATCAGATACATCATCCAATATAACTAATATATTAAATAACTTCTTCGTTCCTTGTTTTTTCTGATATTCAATTATTTTATTTTGAGTTTCTATAACTCTTTCTAAATCTTCAACATTGAACTCATCCCACCAACACGGTTCTTTATCAGTATCAACTTTTAAACCTTCTTTAATGTATTTTTTAACAGGCAACCAAATGCTATCCAAATTTACTGACGGGGACCAGATAAAAATTCTTTCATATGCTCCTCTATAAATATCAAGTATCATTGATACAAGTAAAGTTGATTTTCCAGAACCTGATGGTCCTACAATCATCGCTCTCATCGGCAATTTAGGGACGACCTCGTGCTTACTTTGCTTAAAATCATATTTGATTTCATCAATTGGTTTTACATCAGGCATAATAAAACAATATTATAAATACTTATAAAAAAATAATTATATTTATTATTGTATGAAAGCATTGCTATGATATGGGGATATCATAGTAGAACAGGCTCTTTCATCAGCTTTAATCATAAGCATTGAAGCTAATTAGTTTGAATTAGTTTAAGCCCAGCTTACGTGTGCAGTGAAGAGCCCCATTACCCCGAGGAGAAGAGAAGATGGCGAACCCCGAGTATTCTAGATAATAAGATTAATTTTAATAATTTATCTTATTATTTAATATGGACGCTTCGGCAAGAAGCCTCGCGAAGCTTCGCGACAGGAGCTATTCAGATTATATTGATATAATTGATGAAGTTGAGAAAGTGGAACAACTTGTGATAACTGATAATAAAACTAAAAAATGTTGTTATTATTCGTTAGAATTAATTAAGCTTATTTTTGAATATATCAAAAATAAAAATGTAAATATTAATATAAATGGGAAGAAAGAAAAACAAAAAGAATAAGACAGAAACAACGGTTTCATCAGCAGATGAAGACAGTGAAGAAGTTATTAATAAAACAGCAGTTATTGAGTTTGCTTGTCCAATGTGTCAAAAGATGTTAGAAATGAAAAACGAATTAGAAATACAAAAGAAGGGAAATTGTAAATGCTCGTGTGTCCCTGTCGGTTTTAAGATAAGTAAAACTGACAAAAAAATGAATATTGATAAAAGTAAAGACGGTGATATAAATTTAGAAACAGATGCACATAATATTGCTATACGCTTTGGGAGGAATGTCACCCCATCCGATAATGGTGAAAACGAAACACAGGAAACCATAAGAGAAATGATGAAACAATAATATATAAAGAGTAGATTTAACACCACGTTAAACGCATAAATAAATAAATAAATAAATAAATATATATATAAATATATATGTCAGATAGTGATAATGTGTCATTAAGTGAGTTGATAAAGAAGGTAAATATGTTGAATAAGAATATCAAGGCATTAACAGATTTAACAACAGCAATTGATGAAAAGTTTCAAGCCAAGATAGCAGATAATGTTGATGAGAAGGACGCCTCGCCAGAGGCTCGCGTGCTTCGCGACAAGATTGATAAGATTTTTCAAAAGAAAGGCTTAGGCAGACCAGCTGGGAGTTTTGATGATAAAAGAAAGAAATACTGTGAAATGATTAACGACAATAAAATCAAGATGCCAAGACAAGAAACCATTGAATATTACAAGCTGGTTAAGGATGCGAACGGCAAATATTCCTTAGATTAATTTCTAAATAATTCTAATAATATGTATTTATTAGAATTATTCTCAGGTAGTGGAAGTGTTGGAACGATTGCGAGGTCGCTAGGTTTTAATGTAATTTCGTTGGACTTGAAGAATGCTAACATCAATACTGATATTTTGAAATGGAATTACAAAGAGTTTGACAAAGGGCATTTCGATTTTATTTGGTCTTCTCCACCTTGCACGGAATACAGCAGAGCAAAAACAACTGGCATCAGAAATATTGAATATGCTAACAGTATTGTTTTAAAAACTCTGGAAATAATAGATTACTTTAAACCTAAATACTGGGTAATTGAAAACCCTCAAACTGGATTGTTGAAGATGCAACCGTTTATGAGTGGTTTGAAGTACAATGATGTTGATTATTGCAAATACGGTTTTAATTATAGGAAAAGAACGAGGTTGTGGAATAATCTTGACAAATGGAACCCCCGAAGTTTATGTAACAAGGATTGCGGTAAAATAAGGAATAACAAACATATTGAAACAGCCCAGCGAATGCCATCAGGAAGGAAGGAAAGTTGGGGTGATAATTATGTTAAACATAAACAGGAAGACCTTTACAAAATACCTAGTGAGTTGATTTGTGAAATCTTGGTTAGTTTGACAGAGTAAGTATTATTTCCATTTTTGAGCTGGTTTATTTCTGGTTATGAAATGTTTGTTGCTGTTTCTGAAATGGAGACAAAATTGAAATGTTTTGTTGCGTTTCCTGAAATGTATTTTCCTTCTAAAAATGACCAACTTACGAGGTATTTCAATTTCTGAAATGGTTTGATGCTGTTTCGGAAATGGTTTGATGCTGTTTCGGAAATGGTTTGATGCTGTTTCGGAAATGGTTTGATGCTGTTTCGGAAATGGTTTGATGTTGTTTCGGATTTTGTTGGTGCTATTTCGGATTTCGTTGGTGCTATTTCGGATTTCGTTGGTGCTATTTCGGATTTCGTTGGGGCTATTTTGGATTTCGTTGGTGCTACTACTGGGGGGCTGTTCTTGTTTGAGGTTTTGCTTATGCTCTTTGAAAAGAAGCTTTGGAATGTTTCGTTGGTTGGTTGTTTTGGAATGTTCTGTGTTCTGTTCCTTGTTTGGTTTTTTGGTTATGCTCTTTGTTGTTGGGGGTTTTTGGATAAGGGGACTTCAACCCACTTCGGTAAGCATTTTGCCTAAAAACGGTTTAAAGGGTAAGTGGCTTATTATAGTAGAAGATTATGGATAAGACATATTGCTCGGGGTGTGGACGCTATAAGAATTACAGTTTATTTTCAGATAATTGTAAAACTTGTGATAAATGCCGTGAAAAGCAAAGAAGGAAGTCAGAAATAAAGAAATTGAAAAGAGAAGCGATTAAGAAAGAAACAGTAGCAGATGAAGGGGAAAAACAATGTTGTTCTCATTGCCGAGTTCATAGAAAGATTGAATTATTTTCAGATAATCATAAAACTTGTGATAAGTGCCGAGACAAGCAAATAGTATATTCAAAAACATACCGAGACAACCATAAGGAAGAAATACGAGAAATAAACAAAGAATACGGACAGAGAGAATATCATTGTTCTGTATGTGATTGTGAGATTAAATTAAAGCACAAGGCACGGCACGAACGAGCAAGGAAGCACATAGAAAATTTAGAAAAGAATGAGGTTAAGGATGTTTGAAATGGTTTAAGTTATTCTATAAAATGAATAACTCAAAGCATTTTGATTATGAGGTTGGTTAGGCACGTGTTATGAAACTTATATGGGTTTTGATATGGGTGATTGGTATGAAATTTTATAAAATCTTGGGGGGCGGGTCTGGCTGATGGGGTAGGAAAGAGGGTTGTAGGGCTCCCTCTTGCTTGAACCCCCCCAAACCCCCCCAACCCCCCAACCCCCCAACCCCCCGCACCCCCAAACCTCCCCAACCCCCGGCAGGACTTCGGCGGCGCGGTCCTGGCAGCCCAGTGGCGGGCGGCCCAGAAGGAGGTGGCCAAGCCCTTCGTGATGCCGGAGTGACGACGCGGGTCCCACGGATTTTTTTGTGACGAATTGGGACCCTACTTTGACTACTTTGGGTTTGGGGGGGGGGGACCAAAAGGAAAGCCACGTGTCCTTTTTTGGCCGAACCAGTTTGGGGGGTGGTAAGGTAAGCCAAAGGAAAACTTACTTTTCCCATGGGAGAAAGTGATCCAAACATCTGCCAGGGGGAATGAGGTCCCAAATGAGCACTGCAAAAACATGCCGATTCTTACCAGTTCGCTGTTCGTTTTTATGTTCAACTGTGGAGCGGGATCAGGTCTGTGTGCCACCTTTCAATCAGTGCGCCAACATCAAGCAAACAGTGAATGAAACCGAGAACCATGAACTCATGGCATTGGTGCGTGGAATCGAGTCGGTTATCCATGTATAGAAATATAATTACATACGCTTCCATTGTCTGGCTGGGTACTTTCCGGCAAGCACTGACAACAGATGATGGGATTTCAGAATCCGAGCTAAGCAGAGGTGACAGTATTGCCACCCATGTTCAGGGTTCCCCCATTTAGAAAGAAGCACACCACCCACCTTTGGTCTCCAGATCCTTTGCTTTGTAAGTGTGTTCAATCATCGCCAGACCAAAGAGTCATATTCGCTGCAAAGGTAAGGATCTGGGGTCCAGCAATTGTTGCACTCATTGGGGAATCTTTGAGGACTCTCAAAGGGGAGTGCGCCTTTTGCGTCCTAAACAAGCCCGCAAAAACAAACTTCAACCTGTGGGCACACTCGTAAGCAGGTTTCCAAGACCTTGTGGCCATTTGGATGGCAGAAGAGATTGAGCAGCATGGGCCATTCCCTAGAAGCATCAGATGGGCCTCGCAATGGGGGAAGTCTCTTACGGCTCAGCAGAGAAGGACCAGTGTCCAACCTTGCTCCAGATGGGACCTTCACTCTGGTTGCGACTAGTGTGGCTGCCAATGTCACTGGCTTTTGACCTGAAGACGATGTGAAATGCACGGATCTTCGGGCTGCCCACTGGCACACGCCGGGTGTTTCAGCATGGTTTGTGCAGGCCGGCCCCCTTTCGAGTTTCTTCAAGGATTGCGACAAGCGGACCCAGAATAATTTCACTGCAGTGATCACTCTGCAAGTTTGTCACAGGCCAACCTCGTAACCTGCAAGCAGTTGTTGTTTGTTTCATGCGCTTGTCACCTTGCATGCGCTTGTCACCATTTATGTTTCTACGCAAGTTCCTTTCACACGTTTGCGTTGCCTCGCAGTACAGTGACAGTTACAGTACAGATCCTTACACCTCAAATTCACGGCCTAGCAGTTCCAAGCCCTCCTAAGGAGGGTCTGGCAGAAGCATTGCTAGACGCTTGTGCCTTGCGTTGCATGGCGCGGGCCTTTTTTTTCTCTGCACGCTTGCAAGCAGCCATTTACATCCCGCCGGATTTTGGCGTATAGGGCGAAGGGTTGGCTTACATGGTATTTCTATCTCTCATCATAATTATGTTTCTTTGGGGGGGACCACCCTTTAGGCGGTTCTCAAAGGCAAAAAACATCTAAAACCCCTTCGAATGCCAGGCATCGACAGGAACGGGTGCCGCATAGCTTTGGTGATCAGGAGCTGATTTTCGTTTGGCTCCGCTTAGTATGCCTCCTTTGGGCGTGATTCCGCTTGGGTTCGTTGGGAGGGACATCTTCAGGCACTCCCTGATCCGGCGGGAACCAAATCCGTCCCTTGCGGGTGTGCCCTTCAGGCAGCTGGGGCACAGAAGCGGATGATGCATTTATCCTAGGTGTGTTTCTGTCTGGGGATTCAAGTCCGAGAAGAGAATCACAGTAGGCGATGTCCTTGGAAGTCTGCCCCAGGCGCGGGCTCGCTAGGGCTGGGACTTGAAAATTGCGGTCTGCGCCGCGGAAAGGTTAGATTCCTTTGCGAGTTGCCCAGTGGCTCGGAGTTGGAGCGGAAGCGCGAGACGCCGCTGAGTGGGTCGTCTTCGCGCTTGCGCTGGGGGTTGATTTCTCAGGGGAGGACATGTGTCAAGTCAATTTGACGGCCGGTGAACGCCACGAGGGGTGTTAGGCATCGTTTGTTGCGATGGCCCTTTGGGTCGACCCCGAGAGCCCTTGGCTGGACCTTCTGTGGCTTTGCGACCGAATGAGGGTAAGGGGGGCAGGGCGGGGAAAAGGTCCGCGAAAGGGTGGGGGGTGGGGGGGTGGGGGCGCTTTTAAAAAGGGCCTCCATCGTGTGGATTGAGTGTACGTGGTGTGCCGATGCTGTGAATGGCGGGTGGGCTGCTGGCATGCAGTTGCATCGAAGGGTTTGACTCTGCTTTCACAGACGTTCCTTTTTTTCCTTTTTTCTCGAGGCTAGCCGCTAGAAATAATGGCATAAGGCATTTGTCTGGAATAGTTTCTAGGGGACCTAACTTGGCTCAGTATATAGTTTTTCCCCACACATGGCGGACGTCATGAACTCTAAGTGGACACACCCTCCAAAATGCTTGGTGGGCATGATCCCCTATCTGTTTTGTGGTGCTCCCCAAAGAGCCCCATTCCAAAATCATACTGACTTCAGGAAACACACATTTCCAGGATGTCCATCCTCTGAAGAAATGGAGCTGGGAGGAGGAGATTCCTGTGAATTTCCATTTTCCCGTTTGTGAGAAGATTGTAAAATTGCCAGGACCGGTGGTTGCTTTGCAGAACTCCTGGATCCGGCAGTGCCACTCAACTTGGAAGCCAGGACCCACAAATACATCGACATTTTGAATTCTTCCCCTGGACGCCAAAGCAGGTCCCCCAATAACCTCCCATCCACCAACATGAAGCCTGACATGGACGAGAGGGAGTCCACAATTTCAGAAGCCATACACCGGACTAAAACTTGTCCTTGTCCATGCAAACCAGCCACAACCAGATGGCAGATACTGCTGAACTCTGCGACAGGTAGTGGGTCAGCAACCTCAGCTCGTTCAGGGTTGTTTCTATTTCTCGATGGACTTTGCTTCAAAGCTTTGCGTTGCACCATTGTTTGAGGAACCCCCAGACCTTTGACTTCAGCCACAACCGCGCCAGCAGTCTCTTGTCTTTTTTTCCCCTTAAATGCCTGAACAAGGATAAAGGGGTTTGGTCCAGGCGACCCAGACCTCCAGCCAGCTGACGGGGCAGGTGTTGGAGGAGGCTGGGTCCCTGATTTGTGATGCCAAGAAGTAAATTGCTGTAGGGTAGCTGAGATGGAGGGAGAGTGATGCTAACCATAGGTGGAGCCAGTCACAATCATTGCAATGCATTTGAATGCAACCAACGCTCTATATAATATCTCAATCGCTAAGTTCATATATATATATATATATATATAGATAGATAGCTCTCTCTCTCTCTCTCTCTATGTCTACCTCTATCTCTATGTCTTTTGCTCTCTTGCGTTCCCAGTGATCAGTGCAGCTGACTTGGGACATCTACAAACTTATTTGTTTCTTCGAGAAGCACAGCCCATCCAAACTCACGAAGCGCCTAAACTTTCTGCGCCGCAAACACGAACTGCTACTGCCATACGAGTTATTGCAAAAATGGTGCCGGTGTACTGTTGGTTTGGGGAGGATACAACCCAGGCGTACAGGGAGGACATAACCAAACGTCGCCTGTTTGCAGGGCTTGTATGCAGCGCCGGCTTCAGCTGGGAGCCTTGCTTCTTGCCGTCCCGGCAGGCGGCTCTCGCAGCCGCCGCGGAAGCTGTGGCGCAGGAGGCGGCGGGGCGCCCCAGGAGTCGAATGCCAAGGTCCCTTTCTCTTTGTAGGTTCCTAACAAATAAGTAACTTGCGATTTGGGCGAATAGCGGTGTTGGGGTGAACGATCTCCCGAAGCCGCCTCAGTCAACAGGTAGGGGACCAAGCGCGCAGTGTGCGACCTCAAAGTTCGACTGAGGCGGCGGCTCGGGCAGCCGGAGGAGAGTGGAAGGGCGAAGGAACTCGTCCAGGGCATTTGGGGCCTTGGTGAGAACAAGCCCAACCGCTTACTCATAGTATTACTCCGATCAGGTTTTGATTGTGACTCATGTGAGCTTCGAGGTCCAAATATCTAGTCGTCTATGGTGCATTTGTGGCAGTGTTTGACCGCCCCAGGCTTTTTGGGCTCCGACTCCTTCGCTGCTTTCAGACAAACTATGGTTGGCAGAAATGGCCTGACGAGTCATTGTACATATGCCAACTTGCAGCCTTTCTTTTGTGCGCTCTCTCTCTCTCTCTCTTTCTCTCTCTCTCTCTCTCCGTCTCTTTCTCTTTTTTCTTCCTCTCTCTCTGCCTCTCTCTGGCTCTATCTGGACAAGCTACCAGTTCATTTTCCACGGAGCTCACCAGTCGGCGAGGAGCTGGCGCGCGGCTTCTCGCGCCCGAAGACCCGGAAGGGAAGATCCTGGCGCAGTTCGGGCCAGCTTGAAACAGCTTACAACCTGGAGTCCTCTGGAGTCCTTGAGTCCTTGCGCTGATGCCATGTTTGGAATTTCCCGAGGGGAAAACCCTCGCACCTTGCGCATGCAGATGCCCCCGGACCGAGTCGGAGTCGGCTCCTGCTCTGTATGCGGCATCTCTGGGCAATATTCCGCATTGGAGCCTGGTGCTCTTGCCAGTCGCATGAAATGTGCCGTGCAAGTTCGGGAGCCTATATTTATTCGACACAGTGGGACCGTTCTGAAGCCTTGGCACCTAGCTTATAAGGGATGGTTTGGGGATTGCTTTAGAATCCTATTTGAACATCTCCCTGGAATGTTGTGGGCTTCGGAGCAAGTCACACTCAGTTGAGTGTTCTTGGATTGTGACGCTGATGGTTTGTCCACATCCTTGCAAGAATGGCCTTTCCATCCTGGATCCTGACCCGAAGGTCCGTGGGACAATTTAGGAGGGTTTTCCAGAGAGCTCCGTAAAGGTCGTCAGATTGTGCTTTCTAAGAGCATCGTTCTTGGGGGAGATGGGGGGTTTCTTTGGTTCCTCCCGAATTTGGTGAATGGTCACAAATATTTGAGAGGTGATGTGTAGTCCGGATCTTGCGACTTGTGATGTTGGTGCAGTTGGAGGTTTGAAG